TCCCTACAGTTCCTTTTTGGCTTTCAGTGTGTCTGGTGTTTACCCGAACTTTAAAGCTTTGCCCTACCTGGCAACAGTTTGTTCATGCTTTACAATATTTTCAAGGAATGTCCTCTGCATAACTGCTGTTCTAACCTGAGAAAGTTCAAAATTAAGTGACACATAGGTGAGTTCCTTTTATCAGTTTATTTGGTCCCCAGTCAAATCCAAAGAGAGTGAAACAGTTCTTTGATTAGGGTTTAACTCTGTTCACTCCAGAGCAGGGGCCAGGGTTCCACACTGGGAAACACCAGTTGTCATTTTCAAGACCTTGATGAGCAGAGAAGAGGTTGGGGCAATGGAAAGTGAAAATGCTTGAAATGTTTCCTACCGTTTTTAAGTTGCTCTTTCATGATTCTGTGTTTCCTTGATTGATCAATATGAAACTATTTTCCAGAGTTTTCAAGAAATTGGTAATTTTTACTGTTTCTTACTTACTTACTTTCTTACTCTTCCAAAGAGATAGGCTCTTGGAATTACTTACTCCACCATTTTTACTGATGTCTGTCTGTCTTTACTTCTGTAGTTAAGTTTTCTTTAGTTCTTTGAACGTATTCGTAGTGACTGCTTAGAATTCTTTGTGACGTCTTACACCTGGGTCCTCTCAATTAGTGTCTATGTCTTCCTGTTTTTCTTTGTATGGATTACATTTTTCATTTCCTTTGCATGTCTCATAATCTTTTAGGTAAAAAAAAACCTGGACATTTTAAACAATATAGCAAATCTGGATACTGATTCTTCCTGGTGATTTTCTGTTGGGTCGTTGGAAAAGTCATGACACATTTTTGCATAGGAAAACATATAAAAATATATCATGACTTTTCTGATGACCCAGTATTTTTCTGTTATGGATTTAAAAAATTTTCAGTAGTCAGAGTGTACATTCCATATAATTTCAGTCTCCTGAAATTATATAGAACTTTTTTTTAGTTAGATTACCAACAGTTTTGTTAAATGCTTTACATGCATTTGAAAACAGTGTATATTCTGTATGTGCTAGGTATAGTGTTCTCTAAATTTAAACTCAATTTATGTTGGTTAACGGTTTAAAATAAAATATGTGTGTATATACACATATATATGCACACACATATACGTGTGTGTGTGTGTATGTGTATATAGTCTTCTCCTGGTTTATGAGACATTCTGAATTAGTTTTTCTTTCTGGTCATCTATTTTTGTTTCATGTATTTCAAAATCATGATAACATTTGTTAACTTCTAAGGTTTAGTATGTCTTTTAACTTTCTTTTGGATTACTCTGTTATTTTCTAGTGTATTGAGAGATACTCAGATTATTCTCTGATATAAGCAGGTTAAAGCTATAGTTTTTCCCTTTGAATATAATTTTAGTTATATTTCATAAGTTTTAATACATGGTATTGATAGTTGTCATTTCTTATAAATGCTCTTTTTTTCTGTTACATTTTTTCCTTTGATCTGTGAGATATTAGAAGTATTTGTAAATAAATACATGCAAGGATACAGTTTAAACTTTACAGCTGAATAATGTTTTTGTATGTAAATTAACTGAAATTATTGCATACCTATAAGTAGAGTCATGTAGTTAAATTTAAAATTTAAATATTTATTTTTTAAAAGAATTAATTAATTAGGTTTTTTTTTACATGAGTTTTGTAGAGAAAGACAGGGGTTGGGGAAGGAATGAGAAAGCAAGCCACCAGGACCGGGACTCAAAACACAGTCAGCTTTATGGGAACTCCAGTGCCTTAGTCAGCATGCCATCTGCTGGCCCCAAATTTAAATATTTTTTTGTTAGTGTTTCAAGGCTGTTTAATTTCTGTTTACAGAAATGGAATGAATGAATGAAAACATCACTAGGATAAAAATTTGTTTATTTCCTGTGAGACTTATGCCTTCTGATATATAGGATTAAATTTTTACTTTATTTTTTATTTAATTAAAGTGTGGTTAGAGAACATGGTGTGCATGATTATTCTTTAGTATTTGTGAAAACTTTTGAGTTTCATATGATTGTTGTATTTGTATATGAGTGCATATATATATATATATGAATGTTCCATATGTGCTTGAAAATAATATGTGTGACTGGCCTTCAGAAAGTTCATGGAAAATATGACCTATGCTTGGGTGCCCAGGATCTTGAATAACTGGAGAGAGGGGTAGAGAAGATTGCAGAATGATGAGACCCTATACTTTCTCTCTCTCACACATGCATTCTATAACATAAAAAAATATGTAGGGCTGGCACCAAACCAAATAGTTAAAGAAGCCAGATCCCATCTCATATGGGTGATCACAGTTTGAATCCCAGCCTAGCACACCAGGCACATGTGTATATGCCCAAAACCCTGACAAATGAAGAAATGGAGAGGAAGGGATCGTAGTGTGATCAGACCCTCTCTCACTCCCCTCTCTATCTCTCTGTCTCTCTCTGTTGTGTGCATGCCCCCTCTTGCAGTTAAAAAAAGTGTGTGTATATATATACGTATATATATACATACATATATATGTGTGTATGTATATATATATAAATATAACATATAGTATTTAGTAAAGAATTCATTCATAAGTGGTGGTGTACTGAAAGACATTTTGTATTGATTTTGAGTTACTGCTTCAGCCCCATTACAAATGATAGATGTTATATAAATATTCTTTTAACTGTCTGTGATCATTTCTTTTTCTGCTTCCTTTTTAGGTATTACACCTGTGTATCATAACATGTTTGCCCTAATGAGTGAAACAGAAAGGATCTGGTATCCGCCCAACCATGTCTTCCATATAGATGAGTCAGCCAGGCATAATGTACTCTACAGAATAAGGTATTTTCTCTAGTAAAGTGATTCACTTTATGGTAACAGGTCAAAGTTGGAGAAGTTATCAAATACACACACACACACACACACACACACACACATATATATGTTTTTCATCAAATATATGTTTTAATTGCTGCAAGATATTTAATACCTGAAACCAAAGCCAAATTATTGGGTTGTCATGAAAGTCATGACATATTTTTCTGTGTTTTCTATGCAAAAAGGAGTTGTGACTTTTCTGACCACCCAATACTTAGCATTTAGTCTTCTACATGTAAGATTTTTCTCACTAGAAGTGTCATGCATGTTGTTTAATTAGAATGTTCTCAAAATAAAGCTCTTCTGGTGGAATGTCACTTTACTACTTATGATTTTAATAATAGTTATAAAAAAGGATGAGTGTAGCCTTAATGTTTAAAATATTGCTAATTTGGGACCAGCAGTTAACGTAATGGCTATGTCAGTGGACTCCCACGTAGTCAACCACGGTTCGAGTCCCGGACCCGGTGGCTTAAAACTCATGCCGGGCACATATGCGTGCGTGCCCAAGATCCCGAGAGGAGAATGGAGGAGAAGGGATTGTGACGTGGCTATCCCCTCTGGGGGGTGATTTCTCGCTTTCTATCTCTCTTTCTCTGTCTGTCTGGTGAGCACACGCGCCATATAGCAAAAACCTCTAAAATAAAAAAAAGAATAATATTGCTGATTTCCCAGGGAATTTGAATTTTATGCAATAAAATGCATTCTCACATCTCTTCTTTACAACTTTTTTTTTAAGTTGAAGTGCAAGAGATAATGTTTCTGTGGCATTTAGTGTCGTGCTTATCATTTGATGGGCTCTCAGTGGTGACTTACAGTGTACTAAGCCTGTAGTTCCAGCAGGGAGG